TCAGCTCACATTATGCCTATTATGTTTCCAGTTGCAGAAAATAATTACTTCTCATTGATATTTGCTTCACTGGAGGGTAAACAATTAAATATTAGAATTCAAGAAGTGGTGCTCAAAGTTTAAAAGAGAGCTATCGTTGAGGTTATGGTTACACTATTGCTTTACCCTGTAAATGCCTCCTGTGAGAGGGGAAGATTGGAGCTTTCAGTCATGTATAAATCATCTATATTATGGTTTAGTGGTAGATGGAGGATTATTTCCAATATGCTTGAAAATTGCAAACACAATTAAAGTTCATGAGCCAAATATCTTTAATTAATTTTTTTATTGGCCATTTAAATGATAAATGATAGCAGCTCTAGTTAAATGTGTGATATCTAGTGTTGAAGTTGCATTTTGCAGCTGAACACCCCTCACCTCACCCTCTCCTTCCAAACATGAAAAACAACCTGTGGCAGGTTCAGTTGTCATAAAAACTCAAAAGGTGTTTAGTTTGTTCAGTCTGGACTAATGTAAAAAACATGGCAGCCTCCGTAGAGAGGGTCCCCTCGATGTAAATATAAAGTATTTAAATATAAAGGGTCTTTTCTGGGGTAAAGAAAACTACAATTCATACAATTTAGATGAAATGAACAAGTGAAAACATCATGAGGATTATTCTACAATCAATTTCTGCCAGTTTCCTTTCACCTAAATCTTACACGCATGGACCTTCAGAGCATCCCTGTCAACATTTAATAAATACATCAGTTACTCTGCAAAATGAATACCAGCTATAAACAAACCTCTCCATAGGTGCATTACCATCCACCTGTTCTCTGCACATGTCCAGTGAGTGGAAATAATCCATTCATCGTTGAATACCACTCATCCTTCAAGGGACGTGGGGGCCGGGAAGCCTATCCCAGTCGACATTGGGGTGAGAGGAACGCTACACCCTGGACAGGTCGCTAGTGTACCTGTGTAGACACCGACACATCTGGTGATTCCAGCTGTGTGTTTTTACAGCAAAAGACGAACAAAACATACCACGAACCAATGCCTTTATTTCATTTACTGTATGCCGTGTCATTACAACAGATCCATTATAGTCAGGGCTAACGTTTTCATTCTCAACTGTGATTCAGGCTATCACACGCACCGCTCTGTCTGTGCACAGAAAACTGCAGAATGGTACATTATAATTCAGTTAAACATGTTGCATCAACATAGTTGATAGTTTCTTTTTTCTAACTTGCAAAATAAACCAAAATTAAAAGATACATGTAACAGTGAGAATCCTTGACTAATAGTGTTCACAACAAAAACCAGAGGTGGAAAAATAATAAAATATCAAAATAAAAAAATAAAATGGTCAGATAAGTATTCAGGCACTTAGAAATACTTTCGGGTCCTTGGCTACACTGTGCTTCATTACATTGTACATGCATTTTATAGACTATTCGAATCTTGTCTTGAGTATGAAGTTGCCTCTACAAGACCTCGGTAAGGGGTGTAGCACATTCAAGAACAACTAATTAAAGGGATTTCAAGTATTTTACACAACATGAACGTTCCTATTTACATGTGATCCGAGCGTTCTCTAACTACGTATTCTCATTGCATACCCCCTAAGACGACATTTTAACAACCATTACTTTACAAATCTGTGACAAACAATTGAAACATTAACTGAAAAGAAATTTCACAAGATACCACCAACAGCCATTATCCAACATGTCGTGCAGGATTTCTTTAGGTCAGTATTTAGAGTGGGTAATAGTTAGAAATACTATACTATTTAAAAGTCGTTTTTTGGTGAAAATCTTATCTCTTGTACTTTTACATGTAAGTCGTATCTTTCATCTGACTTTCATTGTCTTTCCCTGATCCTAAAGTATATGTGTTAGTGGGCTTCAGTGACAGAAATGGGTTTCCTCTTCCTGCGCCGCCCAGAACATCACTATCCACAGTGTTATTAAAGGGAAATGATGCATGAATTGGCAGCTTGACTTGAAACAGGGATGTGATGACTGAGATGATTGCATATTGTAGTCTGCAATCTCCATATTTGACAAATCTGTCCTCCCCTTGAAAAGCGTCTGGTAAGAAAAACATTGTGTCATGGGAAAGCAAAGTGCCGTGACTCTCAAGGACCGACTCAAATACAAACCACCAACAAGAAGAGTAGAGGGAATCTGACATTTAGTCTTGTGCTTTCTACTGATCATCGCAGACATACATGTAAGATAGACACTGACAACAGGAACAAACATAGACTTCACAAACTGTAGGAGGAAATGTTCAGTACAACACAGCAACAGCCTCTCTAAAGGTATTCTTTTACCATTACCAAAACCCTTACTTTCTAGAACATTATATAAGACACACTTTGTTTTTTGACATAATAATCTCAACTCAAGGCCTGCTTTGGACAAGTGCACACTACAAGACTTTGAAAATCTCACAGTTGCTGTGCTCAAACCACAAAGTGTTTCTGTCCCTGACTGTGTTCGTGTAGCTGCAAGGCTCCACAAACAAAACAACTGATCTCAGACAAGATTACAATAGCTTGAGAGATTTTTGAAAGAAGACATTGATCGCAATAGCTGACGAAAACACACGAGTCGTGTGCACATAAGCTGCAGAATCCCAACTTCGCCCTCTTAGAACCCAGGATGTTTTGTTTTTGAATCCCCATTTCCCTTTTCATAGAACCCTTATATCTCAAGAAGCACTTGATCTTGGCTATTGTGAAATCGAACATTATTGGAAACTGATGTTTTATCACAGAAAACTCGTGGTCAGAACGGAACCTTTCAGACTATTGGACCCTTCAACATTTGTGTGCTCCTATTTCAGAGCATTCAGTTTCATCTCAGTCTTAATTTGCAGATTGTTTGCTCTATTGTCATGGAATGTCATCATGACATGAGATTCAGTCTCATTATAAAAAGTCCCTGTACATAGACACAACCATATTGCCAGAAGAAAATCCAATATTGGACAAATCTACAATATCTAACAGTGATTTTTTTTTTTAACTTTCTATCCCAAGAGTCTCTCTACTATCTGTATGAGACAAGTTGGGTTGGTTAAGGTTACAGAAAGCTTGTGGTTAAAACGGAATTCGAATGAGGCGACTAAAATTATTGGTCAAGGTTAGGGTTAGGTCATGGTTGTTGTTTTGTTTTTTTTAAAGCCAAGGCTAATAATTATTGAAAGACTCAAATTCCCAGGAAAAACATGCCACACACCAATCAATCACACCAACCTCCACACCTTTACTTTTCAACTTCCTGTACCGGCCCTGAACGCTGGCATCAGCCAAAGTGTGAGGTGCAGAATCAGCCAATTTGAATGTGATTTCTAGGGCACTGGGATGGTTCAAATATGTTCTCTAATGTAGGAGGCATCCTTGATACTTCTCCAGCTATCTACTGATAATTGGTTGATGACTTTGACCCATTTTAAGAGTACACAAAAATGTGCTTAATAATGTTATATGACCAATTTTGTCATCCTTTCAAACTTACATTCGGTCATGTGAAGAAAACTTGACAACCACTGTTGAAGACTGAAGGACACGTTTGTGATTGGGCCTTGAGTTATTCTTATTTTACTTACACTATTTTGTTGGAGCTTTCTTACCGTTTCCTCCAGGAACAGATTTTTGGGACACCTTAAAATGCTATTGATGCTTATTCACATCTCTTAACATTGAGAGTCTCCATCAGCTAAAGTCCAATTGCCCAGCAAATACAAGAGGTTCTGTCATTCAGAACAAATTTTAATATACATCTCGACTTTTCTTGGGTGTAATGTACATAATTATTTCGACTAAAATATTTCTGACTTGTAAATGTCACATTTGCTACATGCTGTTTGCCAGGATCAACTTTCTAAAGTTTAAAGGCATTTATAGTCTTATTTTACTGTAGCAAATGACTTCTTGTGGGTAACAATAATTACAAGGACTCACTGTCTGACATGTTGTCTTTTGGTATGGTAATTTATTGATGTCACCATGAGAAAAAAGGTCTGTTTGTCATTATGACGGAAATTCACATTTGAATGCAAACCCTTTCATGTTATGACTTGCTAATTTCATGATATCATAATGTTTTTCCTTCGTGATTACGTACTATACATAATGTATAAAATGATACTCTCTAAATATATCAATAAACATCTTGAATTATACACTATGGATTTTGACCTATTTCATGTTTCTTGTGTTTCTTGGTTTGTTCACTCCAGGCCAACCAAATACCATTTCAAAATTCAATTCTTGATTATTTTATATTTGGGATGGCTGTGAAACTCAATTTAAAATTCCATATGTTTCATCCAAAGACTAAAAGTTTGTATCAGGATTTGAAGTGAGAATTTTAATCTTTCTTTAGGCTACATTTGTTTCTTTCTTGGCAAAAATTGGCTTCCACTGAATCCAGTATTTTCTGTAGCCACTTAGTGAAGTCATTCACTGAATGTATCAGTGAAATCCACCTTGTCTGACTCTATTGTGATGAAGTGTGATTTCTCTACATCAAAAGGAGGTCATTACATGACGGCTGGAATACTTTATACCCAATATTTACACACCCCACACCCCGCTTTGAGAGTCTAAAATAAACACAATGTAAAGACCATTAGTCTCCTTTCAAATATAGAGGTTCAAGTGCGGAAATCTCTGCATTTTTGTAATATCTTCGATTTGTAAATATTGTAATTTACGTTTGATTTCTCTGGGAATTGAAGATGCACTTGATTTAGCGTGTGTTTAAAAAACGCAGTATACATCTTACTGTGGTCAAAATGAGGGCTCTGGGAAATA